GATAGGGATTGTTAGCAAAATGGGAGGTCAGCTCAAGAAACAAGACCACATCAGAATGAAATTTAACTAGGCTACCCTTGGCATGAAAGGAAGGGAGAGAAAACACCAGGCTTTCCAGATGCTGTCAGAGCTGGTCTCAATGCGCTCTCCTCTGCCTCTGCGCACGCACAGGCAGGTTCAGCATGTTGCTGGTTCGCCTCGCCTGGTCGCTCTGAGGAGAAAACCCTAGGAGTTTATTTTATTTTATTTTTAAACAAACCTTTCCACTGGGTGCCTGAAAAAAAAAAGGGAGCCCCAGAGTCCTTCAGTGGCTCTTCAAGACGGTCTCCATATTTAAATGCAACTGACTGTGTAATAAAAAGCAGGTGCAGTTATTCAAGTGCACAGTAAATTAGAACAAATGCAAAGTAAAACCCTAGGAGTTTATTTTATTTTATTTTATTAAAAACCTTTCCACTGGGTGCCTGAAAATAAAAGGGAGCCACAGAGTCCTTCAGTGGCTCTTCAAGACGGTCTCCATATTTAAATGCAACTGACTGTTTAATTAAAAGCAGGTGCAGTTATTCAAGTGCACAGTAAATTAGAACAAATGCAAAGTAAAACCCTAGGAGTTTATTTCATTTTATTTTAATTTAAAGAAACCTTTCCACTGGGTGCCTGAAAAAAAGGGAACCCCAGAGTCCTTCAGTGGCTCTTTTAACAATGTCGCCATGTTTAAATGCAACTGACTGTTTAATTAAAAGCAGGTGCACAGTATTCAAGTGCACAGTAAATTGGAACAAATGCAAAGTAAAACCCTAGGAGTTTATTTCATTTTATTTTAATTTAAAAAAGCCTTTCCACTGGGTGCCTGGAAGAAAAAGGGAGCCCCAGAGTCCTTCAGTGGCTCTTTAACAACGTCGCCATGTTTAAACGCAGCGGACATGCAACTGGCTGTTTAATTAAAAGCAGGTGCAGTTATTCAAGTGGGACCTCATTCTTAATTTTAACACGAATGGCTGTATACAGGTAATCCCTCCCCAGGTACGAACGTTTGTTTAGCCAGTGTTCACAAAAACGGACTAATTCAGAAAGGGGACTTACTGTTAGACGTGCAAACCCGCGACCAAGCACAGGCGTCTGCAGCCACGAGGCTTGGAGAGAAGAAGCCGGAAGTGGGTTTTTTTTGGTGCCTGGTCACGTGGCCGAAGCTGATTGGCTGAGTTTTGCAAGATCTCTTTTGCTTTTGCTTTGCTGGAGCTGCCTGGAAGACCTGCTGCTTGCTGGCCTTGAGGACTAGAGACCTAGAATGACTTCTGTATTTTAAAATATTATTATTTTTGTGGTTCCTGTATGGTACTGTTCTTCTGTCGTCTGCAATCCCTTTGGGCACTGCTCTGCCTCCCATTGTGCTGGTTAAGTGCAGCCCTTTGCAAGGTGGTTTGTTTGTTTGTTTGCCTCGGCCTGACATTGGTAGCCTGTGGCTGCTGCTGCCGCCTCCTCTCCCTGGCACAGACCCGGCAGAGATTCTGCTGACCCCTTCACTGCAGGGGTCTTCCAGCGTGGCCCTTGCATGACTTGTGGGCTTCAACTCCCAGAATTCCTCAGCCAGGCATGCCTGGCTGAGGAATTCTGGGAGTTGAAGTCCACAAGGCACCCAAGGGCCACGTTGGAAGATCCCCTGCCAGTAGGGAAGGAAGTCCCCCACCCCATTTTGGATGTTGCCTGGAGAGGCTTACGCTGATCAGGGGCAGTGGGGTTTTTTTTTTTAAAGGTTTTACATTTAAATTGCCTCCAGAAGTTGTGGGTGTTCCCTCCCTGGAGGCTTTTAAGAAGAGACCGGATAGGCATTTATCAGACATACAGTATACAGAACTCTCTTTGTGAGAGCAGTGGGTTAGACTAGATGATCTCAAGGTCCCTTCCATCTCAGTTACTGTTGCAAGCCGGCAATTCTGTAAACTCTACCCCCATCTCCCTCCGCATGCCTGGGTGGAGACTCTTTAAGATAGTGGCCAGCAAGTGTTGTTGTTGTTTTTAAAAGGATTTACATTTAAATTGCCTCCAGAAGTTGTGGGTGTTGAGAGGGACAATGAGAGGGAGGGAAGGAAGGATCAAGAAAAAGAACAGAGGGAAGGTGGGAGGAAATATCAGAGGATGGATGGATAGATGGAAGGAACAATGGGAGGAAGGGAAGGCACCCCCCCAGTCCCACCCCCCTCCAGCAGAGACCCACGGATCCCCCCCACAGCCCCATCCGCACACCCCACAGGCTCCCCACAACCTTAGTGATGAGCTGGTCACGTCCCCCCCCCCCATTGACTTCACTTGCCAAAAAGTTGCAAAAGGTGATCACACGACCCTGGGACAGTGACCGTCGTAAGTATGAATCAGTTGCCAAGCATCCGAATGTAAATCACAGGGCCCTGGGGATGCTACAACGGTCGTGTGAAACATGGTCGGAAGTCACTTTTTCCAGTGCCGTCGTAACTTCGAACAGTCCCTAAGCAAATCGTTGTAAGTCGAGGACTGCTTGTACTTTATCATTCCCCCCCCCCTTTTTGGGGGGGGGGTTTGGCCATCAAGTTTTTGACACCTTGCTAGGCCAGTGGTGGGATTCGGATATTGCCTTACCCTCAAAGTGGTACAATGGGTGAAAAGGTTGACAGGCCCTGCCCTGTGCTATAGATGGTCTTTGTAGTCCCCTTCAGGCTGCTATGCCCAAAATAACCACAGGAGGGCATTGTTTGCATGTCCTGTTATGTCTTTCAGGCTGCTATGCCCAAAATAACCACAGGAGGGCCTTCCTTGTTTGCATGCCCTGTTATTATGTCTCTTTTAGGCTGCTATGCCCAAAATAACCACAGGAGGGCATTGTTTACATGCCCTGTTATGCCTCTTTCAGGCTGCTATGCCCACAATAACCACAGGAGGGCACTCTTTCCATGCCCTGTGCTCTATAGATTTGCAATTCACAACCCCGTTCTGCCCTGTGATCACCACTTGCATCCTTTCCTTTCAGTGGGGGAAACTGGATTGAACAGCCGTTTGATTTGCTTAATGACCATGCCTAAAATGGTCCTAAGATCCTTTGTCTTCATAACAACAAAGTTTCCTGTTCCCATTGTAGACGTTGAGCAGAGGACCACCTGCAATCCTCCCAGGCTGAACCCCCCCAAAGAGCCGCCACAGGACGAGCAGTTTCAAATGAATCAAGGGTTTCCTGAAACATTCTTTTCAAGCAATCACAAGAGCTACACAACCACACCATGACTGAACGTGATGTAAAATGAACACGCCCTCTTTCTCCCCCACCTCCCACCCCAGCCCACCCCAGTGATCCAAGATCAGGCCTTCCCGTCTTCCCCTGTGGTGGTCCTAATTTAAAAGAAAAAAAGAAAAAATCAATGGGAGAATGGGATCTTCGGAGAATGAAGCGAACACTGTTCAGAGCCAGCACCACAAAGCAAGAAGAACCCTGTCCGGATCGGATCCTGGTTCGAGTTCGGAAAACATTTGGCTTTTAATCTACATGGACGGCTTTGAAAAAGTCCAGAACGCCACGCTGTGGATGCACGGAACGCGGGCCGAGCCGCAGAAGGAAACGCGCCGTCTTTGGGGAAGCGAAAGACGGCGCGACGGACGGATGGACGGGCGCCCCGGGCTCTGCTCGTTCAGAATTCCTCGTGGACGTTCCGCGCGTAGTCCATCAGCTTGCTGCCGGTGAAATATTCGCTGTATTTTAAGATCTCCTCCAGCTCCAGGTGGTGATTCTGGTTCTCATCTGCCACGGCAATCATCTGCTTGGCTTCGTTCAAGGCGTTGTATTCGTTCATGGGGTCCATGTACTCCTAGAAGAGGAGGCAAGTGAGTGAAGAAAGAAAGGACCCCCCGGGAACCCCCACCACCAGCAATTCAAAGCTAAAGCATCCTAGATGGGTCGAGGCTCTGACTTTGTCCACCTCTCCATCCTCAAAAAGCAGCTAATGACTCCTTGGGGAACAGCTTCCACCGTCAAGCTGGTCTTATTTAGTTTATTATTAAATTTATATATCAGCCATCTTGCTGTCCTGAGTCAACCTTGGGGTCTAGCAGCCTAACATTCAACCAGTGTTTGCCTTTTTCTGTTTACTCAAGGGAGGTGTTCCCTCCCGTGGAACAAGAGAGGGCAGGACTGAACAGCCTTCAGGTTTTTATTTATTTTATTTCGATTCCATCTATAACTCAAGGCCAAGAAAATACCAGAATACCCCTTGCCTACTCCTGTTGGGCTGAGCAGGTGGGAGGGACTGGTTCAAAGTCCCCCAGCCAGCTTTGAGGCCCAAGGCAGGACTAGAATTTAAAGGTTTTGCCCCTTTCTAGGGGGATATGATAATTATTTTGTAATGAAATGAGGGAAATTGGGGTTACTCGAAGTCTAAATATTATGGTTACTAAAGACTAAATCTCAATACGGTAATTGGAATCAAGTAAAACTCAAAAACAGGACTTGGATAGGTGTAACTAAAATGTTATTGATAAATGTATCCATCGATTGAGCTTTATTTAGAAAATGTATTAATTTGTATATGATATTAAATTACGGGGAACAGAGAGGGAATTTTAAGGTTGTAACCTGACATCTGTTATTGGACTATTGATTACCCTATCACCACGTTGCTTCCTAATTACCTGGATGTAAAAACTGAAAAATTTAATTAAAGTTGTTTAAAAATAAAATAAAATTCCCCCTTTCTAGTCTGGTGCCTTAACATGACCAAATTGATTCTACGAAAACCCTGATATATACACTCTCTCTCTCTCTCTCTCTCTCTGTCTCTCTCTCTGTCTCTCTCTCTGTCTCTCTCTCTGTGTCTCTGTCTCTGTCTCTGTCTCTCTCTCTCTCTCTCTCTCTCTCTCTCTCTCTCTCTCTCTCTCTGTGTGTGTGTGTGTGTGTGTGACTCCATTTTTTAAGTCTGGTGCCCAGAAATGAGTGCCCAACGTTCCTGAGTGAGCCCAAGTAAGCAGTGACGGTTCCCCCCCCCCCAAGCAACATCCAGTTTCTGGGTTTGCTCAAGGCCTACAGCCTAACCAGGGTGTCCTCAACCCTGACAATTTTTAAGATGCGTGGATTTCAAATCCCAGAATTCCTCCATGCTGGCTGGGGAATTCTGGGAGTTGAAGTCCACACATCTTAAAAGAGTTGCCAACCTTGAAATTACTGTTTTAATCCATGTTCATGAACCTGGGACAGGTCCAATATCTCAGCCAATTCCCCAGCAGGCAGAGAATCCTGGGAAATAAGGCTCCCACACCTGAAAGGCCTTTGGTTTGCAGAAAGCTGAGTTATTCCACTCAATTATATACATATACCTCCTATGAGGAAGTGCCAGGGTCTCTCGCCCACTCCTTTTGCTAACTGGAAGTTAACAAAAAGCTGACAGCAAACCAACTTCGCAGAAAAAGTGCTGTGCCCACATATCTGTTTACTCACCTGCCCTGAGACAGCTGAGCGTGGGAGAGGGGGGGGCGAATTAAAAAATGAGTGTAGCCTGGTTGTTTTTCTTTCCTTCCTTTCTTCAAATTTGGACTGTTTCCAGAGAATTGCCAGCTTGATCTAGCAGGCATCAGCTTGTTTCTGGAATGGCCAGCTTGACAGTCACGACAGTAACCACAGGGGAGGGATGGGTGGGGGGGGGGGGAGAGGGGGAGAAATACATGTCATTTTGTGGGGAAATGAAGAGATCAGCCGCGACTCGGTTACCTCCAGCTCTTCCATGGTAACGATGCCGTCACGGTTGGCGTCAATGACTTCTTCGAACTCTTTCTTCCGGTCTTTCACCCAGTCGTCGTCCACATCCTGGGCTTGTTGGTTTTCCACCGTGCCAACCGGCAAGGAAATGAACTCGGAAAGGGTCAGCTTCCTATCGCCGTTCTGATCTGCAGTGAGACAGGACGGTGTGAAAAAGATCAACCGATCAAACAAGCTGCACTGGTGCGAGATTGAAATCTTCTCGGTTTGGTTTTGTCTCCGCCAGGCACGTCTTGTTAGCCCAGCTGCATCGGCTTGGTGTTAACAAGACTTACCGTCCTCCACGGGGCTAAAAAAGTGACTTAAAGCTGATATTATCTTGTCAGCTTAAAGAGATTGATTAATTGATGGATTAGATAGGTATAGGATAGATTGATATTTTACTTTAAAATAGGGGAGATTAGTGGAAGAAGAAATAAATAAGATTTTGATAAAATTAAGAAAGTAGAACATACTTGGAAGGGGATATCTGAACTGAAAATGTCTTTATTTAAAGTTAATTGGATTACGGTATTGTACATTTATAAAGCTTTAAAACAGGTTCAGGTTGAATAGGTTTAAGCTAGAATTGGATGTTTTAAATACACTATGCTATTTGAGGGGAAAAGAGAGGGAATATTTGATGTATTGATTGTACTATTTATATATGTTTTGTTCTAGGATGTTTGATTACCCCAGCACCACGGTGTGTCCTGAATACTTTGTTTTAAGAAATTAAAAAACCAATAAAATTTGTTTTAAAAAAAAAAGTGACTTAAAGGTCCTTGCAGTTATGACCATTACGGCACCCTCAAGGTCACGTGATCAAAATATGGGCACTTGGAGGGGGGGGGTGTTTGCAGAGTCCCCTTGTGACCTTCCCAGCCGGATTCCAAAAGGCACAAAGGTTTGAAAAATCAGATGTGGCGACTCATTTAACGACTGCCTTAGGTTCCTGATCCCAACTGGGGTCATAATTCAACATGTAGTCTGGGGTCCTGAGGTGGGAAACAACATCCAAGTCAGTAAGAGCTTTGATTCTGTCCCTTTTGCAGGGCTCTGCCAATCAATCAGTCAATCAGATTAGAGCTGGAAGGGATCTTGGAGGTCTTCCATTCCAACCCCCTGATCAAGCAGGAGACCCTACAGCTTTCCAGACAGGTGGCTGTCCCGTCTCTTCTTAAAAGCCTCCAGTGATGGAACCCCCACAACTTCTGGAGGGAGACCCTTCCCCTGGTTAATTGTCCTCCCTGTCAGGAAGTGATCGGCCCCTGTGGGCTCCCCCTGCTCCCCCATGTCTGATTCTGCCCCAGAAATGAGAGAGCGTGACGCATGTAAAAAGAGGGCTGGTGCTAATGGGAAGAAAGCTTCTACCCTCCCCATAAGTGGACATTTCACCACCACTCACGGAAGTTTAGAAGGACCCCCCCCACTTTGCTCTGATCAGAACTGTCAATGTGGGATGAAAAAAAACCCAACTTTATATGCCATCAAAATCCCAGCAATTCAGAGTTGGGCTGAGAAGCATCAGGCCGGCTCATTCATACAGCCCTTTGGTGGGAACACCCGAAAGCAGTTATTTTTTCAAACTAGGCAACTTTAAGACGGTGGACTTCAACTACCAGAATTCCCCAGCCAGCATTCTCCTCCTCCTCCTCCTCCTCCTCCTCCTCCTCCTCCTCCTCCTCCTCATCATCACAATTCCAGCCTGTGTGACATCTTAAGGAACCCAGCCACTGTGCCAATTGTATCTACCAGGATAATCGGAGTTAGAAGAACGATTCTGAAGAACGTACCCAAATCCCGGACAATTTCCTTGACCATAAACTTCAGCATCCCTCTGCTGTGCTCTGGATGAAGGAAAGACAAAAACTCTTCCTCGTTCAGCAACAGGTCAGCCGGAGGGTTATCCGCTTGGTACCAGCGGTCCTTCAAGTTGTCGAGGACTTCCTGGGCTGTGGGGTAGAGAAGATTCAGAAAAGGTTTTCCAAAACAGGGAGAGTTCTGAAGTCCAGGTTTTAAAGGGCACAAATGCCTTTTACCCATCCTGGTTAAAACCGACGACGAGCGAACTCGGTTGGAGATTTCGACCAATTAAGACAGGGGTCTTCAAACTTGGCCCTTGGATGACTTGTGGACTTCAACTCCCAGAATTCCTCGCTGGCTGAAGAATTCTGGGAGTTGAAGTCCACAAGTCATCCAAGGGCCAAGTTTGAAGACCCCTGAATTAAGACACGACTTGTTTGTTTTTTTTTCCTCCACAGATGATGACTAAAAGAGATTTCAGAATTTGTGGGCCAGAAGTTCTGGAAACGAGCTCTGCTGACACAGAACCAATTTGGTTCTGTTCAACCCAGTTTGTTGGGCTGGGAAAGCCAGGAAGAGCAGTGGAAAAGACGCTCGAATCCCTGAGAAGTGAGGAGGGCTTGAGCACAAACCACAACCCTGCAGGGTTGTTAAAGTGGAGAATGAGGCACTTTTCTGCAGAACTCTTTATAACCAGAGTTTTCCATTCAATAAAAGTATGTCAATCCTGGCTCCAGGCTTAATGGAGAGGCCAGGCAAACATTTCAAGGCCCAAAGAGGCGTTGAGAGGTTTAATTTAATTCAATTTATGCCCTGCTTCACTCAAGCCATGGCTGATGCTAATCCTAGGTCAGATTCCAAATCATGGCTTGAAGTTCCAAATGATAAAACTCCAGCACAGAGTTACCTTGCCTGTTGTCGAGAGTCTTAGCCCTTGCCAAACACACCACTAACCGGTTGTGTTACTCTAGCACTCACAGAAAGACACAGAAAGCTTCCTTTATCCTAGTTAGGTGACCTCAATTAAACTAATCCCCCTCAGAGGTTAAAATATGGCAGCAGTGAGTTGCTACGGTGAAGGAGGGGAGGGGTGGGTGTGACCCTGTGCAAGCAAGAATTAGGAAACCTTCCTTGGGAAGCCAGGAGAAAATTGGGATTTTTAATCTCACGGGGAAGAACCGGAGCTTTCAACCCTGTTCGGGAACGCAGACCACTCACTCTCCTCGTCAATCTTCAGCTCTTCGTTGTTCTTGATCTTTTCCGCCACCTCCTTCTCATTCATGCCTTTGCTGGCCAGGAACTTGATTTTATATTCATCCCAGGACACGTGACCTGATAAAGCAGAGGAGAAGCCTCAGCCATTTTCAGCCAGCCCACTAGGAAGGCAGCCCCTGCCGCGGGGCTGCCCGCCGTCCGACTGCGCTAAGGCGGCCCCTTTGCCCTCCCTCTTACCATCGCCGTCGGGGTCCACGGCCCGGAAATGCATCTTGTTTTCTTCCACAGCCTCTTGGAAGTGCTCCTCGGTCTTCTCCATGATCCAGCGCTGCATCTCCTTGGCGCTGATTTTTTTGTCGCGGTTGATGTCGACCCTGCGCGGTTCGGTGAAAAAGAAAGGAGCCCCGGTTAGCGGGTCGCCAACCCCCAGTGTCCCTCCAGAAAGAAAAAGAGAGAAGAAATTCTCTCTTTGCTCAGCCAAGGCGCAACCAGCCTACAAGTTCAGGTGATAAAAGGACAGAGAGCAACGAATGAAGGCCACGGTAGAGTCTGAAGCATGCCCAGGCAGTTCCAATTCCCTCAAACAGTCACTTGAAAAACCTGGTTGGTCCCTTCCAGATGGGCTGGAATTACAGCTGAAAGGTCCCGGCCAGCCATCTCTTGGCCCCACTGATAAGACAACCCTACAAGCTGCTACCCCCAAATATCTGGAAGGCTGGGATGCTCAAGATGGGACTACTGACTCAGCCTCACCTGACAAGACAGGTAGCCAGTTACAAGGGAAATATGCCATCTACAAAATATGGCTTCCCCCAAATATTTTTTGGGGAACACGGAGAATCGAAAATAGGTGGGCCTAACGACAGCAGCATCCTGGCTCACCTCACCTTTTCAGAGAAGCTGGGAGAGGAACCACAGAGGTCATCAAGTCCAACTTCCTTGAATGCAAATTAAAGAGTTTGTGTAGCTCCTGTTTTTAATATACATAGACTCCTTTTAGGGACAAGCCAGGTCAGCATTTAATAGGCTCCTCGGATTATTATTTGGTTCTGCCTCCCCCTCTGGTGGGAAATTCAATTCCTTCTCCTTATCTTGCTCTTATAAAGCTGGTGAGCCTGCCCTAGAGAAACTGGGGCTCCCTAAACGCCGGGGCAGGGGAAGATGGGCTACGCTGAAGAGGTTTTCTTCTCTCTCTCTTTTTTTTTTTTTTGGCAAAGAAGTGCTCTTGATAAGAGCAATCTAAGACAAACCCAAGGATCTGCCAAAACTGCTTATTAACATTTCTGGCAGTTTACACAGCCAATTATAGAAACAGAGGGAAACAAATTGGTCTTTTTATTCAGCAAAGGGCAGCAACTGCTATTCGGGAAAATAAATTGGAAAGCTTATTATTGAGACCACAAAGTTGGAAGGTACTTTCCTCTCCCCCCCCCCCTCCACAGGATCAGGCTCATTAAGGAAAACTTTCTAACCCTCAGTACAATGGCTGCTTGTTCGTTTTTTTAGTTTTAATAAAAAAAAAACCCTTCATTTCCCAAGTGCCTGAATATTCCTGGGGCTGCTCTCGGGAAGAATGTTTACTCCCTGCTTGCACTCAGTTGCAACACCAGCGTGGCAATAACCCAGTGGCTTGTGACCTGCCTTCCTCCCAACCAATGAGAAGCAAGGAAGCAGGGGAGGGACTTGGCCCACGTCATTAGTGCCCAGCCCTTGTCTCAACCCAGAGATTGGCTTTTCCGTTTTATTACCACCGCTTGCTACGATGCGCTTAGCAATAATAAATATTTTTCTTTGCAGGCAAGAGGTCTGCATGGCCCCTACCCATCCCACATCACATTACAAAAAAAAAAAAAGAGGTTGAGACTCTGGAAAGAGTGCAAAGAAGAAGAAAGATGATTAGAGGCCTGGAGAGAAAAACAGAGGAAGAACGGTCGCAGGAATTAGGTAGGGCCAGTCTGGAGAAAAGAAGGACTAGGGATGACCTGATAGCAGTATTTGAGGGGCTGCCACAAAGAGGAGAGGGTCAGCTTATTTTCCAAAGCACCAGAAGGAAAGACAAGAAATAATAGATGCAAACTAATCAAGGAGAGAAGCAACCTGGAATTAAGTGAGAACAATCAACCAGTGGAACAGCTTTGCCGTCAGAAGTTGTGGGTGCTCCATCACTGGAGGTTTTTAAGAAAAGACTGGACAGCCACCTGTCTGAAATGGTTATAGGGTCTCCTGCTTGAGCAGGGGGCTAGACTAGAAGACCTCCAAGGTCCCTTCCAGCTCTATGCTGATTGAAGCCTTGCAATAATTTAATGTCAAGCACAAGGGCAGTGGAAGGAATAAATAGGAGCATATTCACTTAAGCCACGGGAATCAAGGCAGATTTCCTTCCTTTAATTCCCTTTAAAGAATAACTCGGAGTACTTTCTAAGATTCTGAGAACAACCACAGCTCCAAATTATGGGAGGGAAGCCATAACAAGTATTCCTTTCTTCCTTCTAGTTTAGAACAGCAGCCACTTTCAAGTTAAAACAGGCCATGCTCACTTTGAGAAAATCACCACCAGCTTTTTCCGGTTTCTCCGGGGTTCCGAGTCTTCCTCAAATTCCTCCATCTCTTTGCCCAGGAAAACCTCCTGGTGAAAGTCCTTGTTGAGATGCCCGTCCAGCTCCATCTTGACCCCGTTCAAGTGGTCCGGAGGGAGGATCTCGTTTTCGTCTTTGTTGTCGGCGGTTTTCTCCTTGAGGATGGAGCTGTTGGCCGGCCGAGCATACACATCCATGAGCAAAAAGACGAAGAGGAGGGATAAATAGATGGAGCCCAAGCTGCAGATGAAGATCCGTTTGGAAACCATGGCTTCCCGTTCTTCAGACCGTCAGCAGGAGGAAGTATCAGGATGGTGTCTGGGTAACCTGGGAGGCGGCGAAGGAGCAAATGATTAGCATTGTTCCCATTCTGAAAAATAGAGGCTCGTTAACCAAGTTGGGTGTCTTGATTTACTTTGCAATTTCTCCTGCTTGTGCAGGGGGATGGACTAGAAGACCTCCAAGGTCCCTTCCCAGCTCCATTCTATTCTTATTCCTATTCCTATTCTTTCCCTTCTTCTAGGCAGGCAAACCCCTTCATTTTACATTGCTCTTTTTTTTTAAAAAAAAACTTGTTTGCTAAAATCTCACTTTTAAATTATAATAATTTTTTTTTTAATTTTGGGGTCGCAGACCAAAATGCAAGTGCAACACAAGAAAACACAAGAAAAATATAATCACAAACAATTAAACACCAGAAGTCACTCTTAAATTAACTTTCTCAGCACCAAAGCTTGACCAGTTGTTTTTTTAAAAACCTCCCTCTACCTAATTAACTTCTCCTATCTAAGAAAGACAACTTGCTGGCTAAAAAGGACTTTCCAGCATAAAAAAAAACCCCCTCTATATTCAGACAGCTTTTTAAGAAAGATCCTTCCTCTTTTTTTTTTTTTTTAAAGAATAAAAGCTGCTCCTTATTCTGCCCCAGGCGAAAATCACTCTGGGTGTCCTCAGAGGAACTCTGCGCGCGGAATTCATTCCAGAGAGAGAGTTTATCCCACAAAAATAAAAAAAAGAAACCTCCAGGCGGACAAGGCAATAGAGGTAGCCCTCGACTTTTACAACCGTTCATTTAGTGACCGCTCCAAATTACAACGGAACTGAAAAAAAAGCGACTTGGGACCTTTCCCCCCAAGTTATGACCGTTGCAGCAGGGTCTCCTGCCTGAGCAGGGGGTTGGACTAGATGACCTCCAAGGTCCCTTCCAACTTTATCATCATCATCATCATCATCATCATCATCATCATCATCATCATCATCATTATTATCCCCGGTGCTCACGCAATTTACATTGGGGCGCTTGCTTGACACCTGGTTTGTATTTATGACAGTTGTGGTGTCTTTTTTTGGGGGGGGGGCTGTGGATGTCGCGGGGTTTTAAAATAATTTTAAATTAATTTGGCCAAATGTTAATATTGTCTTTTAATTATGTTTTTAATTGTAGCATTTTGTATTTTTGTAGTTGTTTTATCTGGCTGTTAGCCGCCCTGAGTCCGCAAGGAGAAGGGCGGGATATAAATATAATAAACATAAACATAAACAACAAACAAACGTGATCCCCTTTTGCGACCTTCTGACAAGCCAAGTCAAAGGGGGGGGGGGGG